CTACTGTCGTTTTTGTGTGCGGCGGTCTTCTGGCCGATTCGTTAAACCCAAGCTCAAGGCTCAGCAGTCCTCAAGATCTTACAAGTGATGTTCAATGCGATTAAGAAGTGCTCTTTGGAGAAGAACAAGAAAACTCGGGGAGGTCAGTTCGAAGATGGGTTCATAGAAGATGTGAAAGCATTGCTCCGTTTGATTCCATTATTCTCACTCATTATCCCCTTCGTTATTGCTTACGTCAATCTCTCCACTGCTTACCTCACACAAGCACAGAAGATGGACAGGCGGTTGTTCAACTGGAAGATCCCTGCTGCACTGATGCAAAATGTCGACCCGATCGCCGTCGTGATCAACTCTATATTAATCAGCTCCATTCTCTACCCACTCTTGAAGAGGCGTGGTATTGTACTATCGGTGCTCTTGAGGTCCTTCATTGGAAGTGTTCTCGGTGTAGTTTCATTGGTATCCGCCCTCATAGTCGAACTACAGATCAAGTCAAGACCACTTTTCACTGTGTCGATATGGTGGCAAGTCGTGCAGTTCTGGCTCGTTGCAGCAGGCGAGATTTTCCTCATCTCAACATCTTATGAGATTGCATTCACATTGTCACCAAGCTCGTTGAAGGCAGTCGCATCGGCGGTGAATTTGTTATTCTTCGCCGTTGGATATGCGCTCTCCGGAGTGATCTTCCAGCTATGTGCTCCGTGGTTGCCCAATTTCGATCCGGCAAACCCGACTGTGATATCTCACAAGGGAGCCCATTACGAATACTTTTATCTAGTTCTCATCGCGCTGTGCTGCATCGGAGCAGCTGCATGCTTAGCACTCATGCCTTACTTCAAGCGAGTCGCTAAGGCTAATAGAGAACTGCTCGAAGCTGTTCGGAAGGAAGAGGTTACCGAGGAAGATTCAACAAAAGTCTGAAACGCTGCAGTGGATTAGACCCTAGACTTTCGTGCCTTCACTTCAGGAATGTTCATTTGCTCTGCCGCTATATTCGACAACTCTTTGCGTTACTCGCACATTTTCCCGTAGGATGGAGTATTCGGGGTGAAAGATCCTTCGCAGTAGTCTACTCCTAGCGGGTCTAGGATGTTTATCGATTTCAGTCCAGCCAGAACAGGCTTGTAATACATCATCCGTCAACTGTTGCCATGTTGAGTTCATCCGAGGCTCTCGCGATTCAACTTAATGATCACAGTTACTGTGAGTGATGCACGAAACGCGGACATCTATTCCAGAAAGGGTCATGGTCAGCTCTATCTTCGTAGCTGATGACTTGTCGTGGATAGAAGGATGTACTGATCGAAGGAATGCGAATAAGGGCTTGCTTGCGACAAAGACGCGCAACAGCGTCGTGTTGTTCCATAAACAAGCCTTCATGAGTCTTGACTTCTCCGAACCCGAGTCACCCTATACTTGCAGTCAACTCCAGATGCTGCGAGAAAGTAATTTCTGTCGCATCATGCGACTCGCATGTCACATCAAGACTCGTTCCTTAGTCTCGAGAGACATCCTCCTGTCAGCTCGGTAATTGGTCGGGAGTATGGGAAAGGACCAAACACTGTGAACTCGAGGCCCAATCCGTCCCAAGTTCGGAAACATTTTCCAAATTTTACCATGGGTTCTGAGTTTACACATCATTTTCGATCACACTAACTTTGTCACGGAAAATAGTCCAAGTTTCCTGACATCGGTTAGTATCTCTCAACCAACTTGGGACAAAGTGCAAAAAATTAAGGAGATGACGAGACTAATCCTTGTCAGGAACCATCCCGATGTCACTAGTTACAAACCTCACAAGCGAGTTCAGCATTTGAGTTGAACACACCTGTATCGTTCTGAATTTATACACTCACTTCAACTTCAAACGGCACCTCCACTTGCAAGTCGGAAAGCCATGACTTGAGAGTGGCGATCGATGTGTCCTGCTAGGACAAATCGATGGTCA